CTTTTTGGTGCAGGTTGTAAATGGAAATCTTATCTTCTAGTCCCCTCAGGAGCCTGGGGAAGCAACCCTTAAGGTTATTTTTAATCCTAGGGCACTCTTTGCCCCCACGTCATATCCCCACTCAAACACTAGGCAGGAGAAATCTTTTGGGAAAAGGGGTGAAGGTCATTGTCTTTAGTAGCTGCTTCCTGCTGAACAGGGGCGAAGAGTCCATTTTAAGGGCTGAGAATAGGTTGAGGAGGGGAGGTCAGTGTAGGGGTGCAGAATGCAGTGCCAGCTGAGTCCAGTGTGGAGAGAGGCAAACCACTTGGGGACACCAAGGGTAGGGGCTGGTATCCTAAGAGTTGAAAGTGGAATTTCTGCAGGTGAGAAGACACAAAGCAAACCAGTAGGTTAAACAAACACAGAGCAAATATAAGAGCAAGTAAAATGATGGAGGAACCACAACCCCTAGGAGGACATAGGGGGAAATATAAGGCTGGAGTGGATGTCTGGGATCCAAGAGGCTGCCTGTACAATCCTTCAAGTGCTCAAAGGATAAATTCCATGCAGGGTTTTCAGGAAATAGGGGGAGAGGTATGGGGAGTAAGCTAGTTGGCATACCCAGCAATCACATACTCTGCCACAGAGTTCTCTATTTGAATTAAGGCATTAGATTTCCTGTGCCTGGAAAGCAGGCCTAACCCTAGGCACAGGGTGAGCTAGGAACAGAAGCTGTTCAAGGTGGGGCCCAGAACAAAGCATAGCTAGAAAGTTCACAGATAAGTCCACAGAGTGGACTTCAATGCATAGTCTTCTTTGATCACTTTTCTGACTGGTCCCACCCAGCATCTTATCCCATATCTCACATCTGGCTTGCTTCATCTGCCTCCAGCACTCCTGTCTGCCTCACCATTCACCCAAATGCTCTTGGGAGAGCAACAAAGGAGCTGTCCCTGCCTTACTGGGGTGGGGAGGGGAGTAAAATGAGGCTGAAGCAGCATCCAAGGGATGAGGAGAGTGTGAAACAGTTATCCTTGTTGCATGACCATCTGCAGGTGGACAGCCAATAGTCTAGGAGACATAAATCTGACAAACAAGTTCAATAGGCTGAGCCCAAATAGAATGAGCATTAAAAATGATGTCAGAAAAGAGGAAAACAAAGAAAGAAACCAAAAGCCCCATGATGCTATTATTTACTTTTGACATAGAGGATTATCTGATCTTGTTGTTTCCTCAGAAGTTTTCACTATGATTCCAATTCTTTTAGGAGAATCAGATGCTATTGAGGATCTAACTCTGTATATATAAATATAAGTAATGACACTTTTTCAGGTAGAAGCTTTCTACCTTTGAGTTCAATAGTTATGCAAATAAATTTCCTTATAAGAGACTGACTTTTACTCCAGTTATCATAGAAGACTTGGGAAGATCCCTAAGTAATTAATTCCAGAACAGTGCATATCAGTAAGTTGTTTACAATAAAACATGTTTGTACCACAGGACACCCAGAATAAACAGGTACTATTTTTTCCCCCAATTTTATTAATTTATTGATTTATCAACAATCACTTCTATATGCTTGAGTTTAAAATTTTTCTCCCCCTTCCCTCCACCCTCCCCAAGACAGCGCACAATCTGATATAGACTTTACATTTATGTTCCTATTAAACATATTTTCACACTAGTGAAGTTGTAAGTAAAAATTAAAACCAATAGGAGGAACCATCAGAAAGAGGAAACAAAACTCAACAGAAGGTAAAAATAAGTGATAGTGATTCGACTTCCATAGTTCTTCCTTTGGATGTGGACAGCATTTTCCATCTCAAGGCCTCTGGAGATGTCTTAGATCCTCATAATGCTGAGAAGGGTTCAGTTTAACAATATTAGTCATCGCATAACGTGGCTGTTATTGTGTACAAAGTCCTCTTGGTTCTGCTCACTTCACTCAGCATCAGACCATATAAGTCTTTCCAGGTTCTTCTGAAGTCAGCCTGTTCATCATTTCATATAGCACAATAGTATTTCATTACATTCATATACCACAACTTGCTCAGCCATTCCCCAATTGATGGGCATCGTCTCAATTTCCAATTCTTTGCCACCACAAAAAGAGCTACTATGAATATTTTTGTACATGTGGGTCTTTTTCCCATTTGTTTGATCTCTTTGGGATATAGCCCTAGAAGTGCTATTGCTGGATCAAAGGGTATGCACTTTTTTTGTAGCCTTTTGGGCATAGTTCCAAATAAACAGGTGCTATTTCCACAACTGTAGTAAACTTTAAATGAAATTTACTTTTCCATTAACACAGAAATATTTCTTAAATTACCTCCCTCTAAGAAAATTGCGCTGAAGTTCTTTTCCCCAAACTGAAGATATTTCTGATTTAGTTTCAGTAACTAATAGAATAATAGCTAGGTCCCTCAATCAGTTGTACCAATACCCAGTTATTCTTATATCACTTTGAAACATTTAAGGACCTTATTCCGTACAAACATATCTAGCAATAGGCAGATGTCTAGGCCAAATACTCATTTCCTAAGTTGCTTAAGAAATGGAAAGGAATATAATCTTAGGCTGAATAGCTTAGATCTTAAACACACTGTAATATAGCAGCTCAGATGTATCCCAGCCTTAGTCTGTGGGATAATGATTCAACATTGTGTTTGTACCTTTGTTTCACAAACTTTTTTCCCTTTGTCTAATTATTCCCATATCATTCAGAAAGAATGTTCTATTCCAGGGATTTAATCTTTCATGTGCCTATGCAGGAATACTAATTTACCTAACTGTTTAAGATACGGGATGACTTACATATTCAGATTGAAAATCGCAAGATTTCACATGCTTGCATTGTGCTCCTATCTTTTACTGTCTATTTGCTTTGATTACAAAAATTTGCCATAAAAAGGAAAAGCAAGGACATCACAGTTTTCCAACCATGTAGTATCAATTCTACCTCATAGCCAGACTCAGGAATAGTCAGGTGGGAAACATTCCTTTTCAAAGGAACACATTGGGGAAACTGAGCCAGGAGGATCCCATCTTGGGCTGAGGCTAAGACTGTCCTCTCAGCTTTTCTAGATGCAAACCTCCACCTGTAATAGTCACATTCTCTCTGAGTAGCTTGTGACATTTCTCTCAGATGGTGGATTACTGACTATTGGTTATGGATGGATTTTTATGATCCATCAGAGAATTCAAAACACAATTCATTATGGTCCCATGAGCTTTTACCTCAGATGGCAAGTTTCCATAATCAAAAATTTACCAGGACTCACATCTCAAGTTTAAACTTGTCCTTGTACAAAAGCCAATCACTAAAGATCATTTCTATATACTTGCAAATTCTCAACAGGCCAAGTTTCTTGTTTAGGAACTCCATAACCCAAGCAAGCTCTTTGGCAAGTTTACAAAACTAAGGAGGATCAACAGGGATCCCAGAGAAGGGGCTGTCTTATCCACCCCAACTACCTTTAGAATTTCTATGGGCTGTGCTTTTTTTCCTTTACTAACCCTGAGGACTGTTCTTTTCCAACACACACACACACACAGGGTAATCAATTACCAGTTTTAAGTTTTAGCATTAAGACAATACAATTCTCATAAGTGATAACCAAAGTGATGACCATAAACGATAACAAAGCTGTAACACAAAACAATAAACTTCAGATGACAACAATTGCATTTCCAGATCATATAAACATTACTGATAGAAGGATAGGCTGGCTTACCAAGTACAGACACAGACAGACTTCTTTACCATAACTCATTCCCCTTCACTGTCTCCCCATAGCTGTGTGCTGGAAGATACTTCCAGGCTGTAGCTGCTGCCTCTCCCCCCTCCTTCCTATAGCCAGGTGGGGGAAGGTGAGTGTGCAGGCAGGGGGTGTAAGGGTGAAACTCTCTAGACTCAGGGGGAGGGAATGAGGGAAGAGAGTGACAAGATTGTAAGGAGGTGTTTAAAAACTCCTTAATGATCAATCTCAAAAACTTCCAGAATCTGCTAAGACGTTTTAGCTGTCCTATCTTTTTCACTTCTACATCCACCCCTTAAAAACTTAGAGTGGGGCATTGAACTTTCAGACCTACATTCTTGAGACCAGTGCCCTTTCTTATGCTACCTGAAGCAGGAACCATTGACTCTGTTTCTCTGAAAGCACCCATTTAAGACCAATTCAAGAACACAACAAACCTAGGAATGAAACTTAGGAAATTCACAATAGATTTGGATATAATCATTATCAGTATCAAATTATTGCAACAAATTAGCTTGCAAGTGGAAATTTAGTAGGCCTTCTAAAAATCATACAAAAAGATTTTGCAAAACATTACTTTGTAAAAAGTATTGCCCTTTCTTAAAAAAAAAAGCTTACAGTTTATCCTGATGTTAGAAGGAATAATCACTAAACTTTCATGAAGTAAATTAGTTGGAAGCCTTAAATTTTGGAATTTATCAAAACCAAGTTGATGGAAAATGTCTTTTAAGTATCACAAATTCCCAAAGTGCCATAAAACCAAATTCTCAATAATCATAAATTCCTAAGTGCCAAAAAGTGTTTACCTTGGGAAATTTCAGTTTTTTCCTAAGGCAAGAGCACACCCAATTAAGTTAGCCCTATCACAACAACAAAGTTTACCAGGCATTTGAAAATTTACTCAGTAGTAATTCCACTATAGAAGACTTACACAGAGTTGATAAGAAATTATGACTAGATAGTTCCAAAAACCCTTGTCTTAGTTAACAACCTTGCAATCTGACAGTACAATTCTTGATCTAACAACATCTAGATTATAAGAGAAATTGCTTTTCTAACAACACAGGTGATACAATTGTTAACCAAATTACACAGTACAAGAAAATTTAGAAATATAACCATACCACAAACAATTATCATGTATTTAAAGCTTGACACAGAAACAGTTAATTAGCAATATCTAGATTCATAATCACTAATGGTAACATTTTAATTTCTAAGGCCCAATACTCTAAGCAGTCTAAAAGAAAAGATTATTAGCCATAAATGGACTTTTTTTTTTAAAAAAAGACACATGGTGACAATTTCCAGCCCCCAAAAACTTTTTAGTTCCTTGAGCTGGAGTTCCCAGCAGTCTCAGGGTGCAGAGAGAAGGGAGTAATTGCAATTTTCCCAATTCCCTAAAGCCAGAGATTTGAAAGAATTGACAGAATTGGACATAAGCTTCCAGATAGAGAGTCTGTCCTCTATGTGGCAGAAGGTGTGCCCAGGTCCATGGCCTGGAACCGCTGGACCCAGAGCCTGAGAGGTCAGGCTGAGTGTGAGACAGCCTTATAGCTGTCTCACCCATTTGGTCAGACCTGAGAGGTCAGGCCTTCCTAGGTGGTTGGAGATCCACCCCAACTACCGGGTGAGGAAAGGAATAAGGAGAGAAAGGAGGCTTACATACTGATAATCATTTAAGATCAACTGAGCCCCAATAAGGGCCAAAAACCTGAATTAATCTTTTTCTCTTTGAGTGAACTAAAAACACCCCTTCCTGTGTCAGCAAATTCCAGGACCAGATAGAACTGATCAACATTCTTCCTGTTTGTTATCACTAAGCCCAGGATGTCTGGGACCAGATACTCTCTTGAATAATGGGACTTTTCTTATCTTGAGTTTCTATCTACAGTTTGACATTCTCCTGTTTTATTGTATTTACAACCTATTCAATTAAGAAAATTCCTTTCCCATGCTATATGTTAAACAAACATATAGAGACTGTATTTTTTTTTGTAACACAGATATCCTGAGTCTGATCACTCTAAACTGTATAAAACCTCTCTCATTTTGCTTAATCTCTGAGTCAGAATCACATTCTGGCTCCCATGTTAACATGATTCGCTAGCTAAAAGAGAATAAACTATATAATCATGTATCACCTAACTTGTTTGCCTTCTTTAACCAAACTTTCAGGTTGACAGGAATGGTGCCGTGACTCGGATTGGAACCGAAGCAATGGGAGAAAACTGCAGCCCACCCCGGCAATGCTTTAGTGGCTCAGGCACCTCAGGATCCGTTTTTTCCTGGAGTCCTAACCTTGATGGGGTTGGGTAAGTTTCTCCTATTCCCAGCTTCCATGGACCTCCCACTAGTTTGGTTGAAGTCCGAAAGAAAATTCCCTTTAAGTTAGGTCTGGGGTTGGGGATCCAGTCGAAGATCAGAAACTCCAGCTACTGTATCAGATCCCCTCTGGTAAGGATCAATCTAGGCAAATTGGCTATGGGTCAGTCAGAAACTAAAACTAAAAATCTGGCTAACAAGACTGCCGCCTCTTATATGTCAAGCCATTGCCAATTTAGTGATCACAAGTACTGCTAGCACTGATATCAATTAACTAAAGATAACCCAGAATCATGTTGGTCACAATATGGGGTTCTTTTGACCAGTCAAAGTTACTTTATCTAAAAACCAAACTAAGTTTAAAGGCCAACAAAACATCTAGCCAGGAGTGGGAATATTTTCATCATTGGATTGATGAGATTGCTAAGGGAGAAGGAAAGGCAGAAGCCTCTTCCCTTAAGGCTCACAAAGCCATTTCAGCACTCTTTCCCAGGCTCTGAATAATCCCCTTCCCCCTCCCCTTTTCCCTTAAAGGCTATAGTCCTTCCGGGGACTCAGATCCCCAAACTTAACTTTATTAGGACTTGCCCCTTTAAATCTGCAATCTCAGGGGCACTCTGAGGAAGGCTCACAGGATCCAGTTATGCTATCAGGTCTTAGATCCTCGCAAATTCCCCAACCCCCTTTCCTCAGAATAATAATGATACTAATAATAGCCAATTCGTGTTGGGGGGGTTTCCTAATAAGCCTCTAATTCCCTCTCTCTGTGTCATTAAGTGCGCAGTATGTCACTATGTCACTATGTATTGTATTTGTCCTGTCACTTTGTGTGTGGATGTGTGTCTCTGTATGTATTTAAGGTTATGTATATAACCTTGTAAGATTTTAAATGCAGCCAGAGGCTTCTAAGGGCTGCAAGTAGGGAAACGACAAAGTGTAAAGCTCCTTTCTTGTGGGTCCAGGCCTGGCCAGCCTAGTGAAAAGTTAGATACAGCTAAAGACTTCTTAGCAGATTCTAAAGGTTTTGAGATTAATCATTAAGAAAGTGGGAAGTTGTTCATTTTGGGACTGTTGGAGAAAACTTCTGAGACTGGGGGTAATTCCAGGAGCTCACCCTCTGCTAAAACACCTCCTTCCAATCCTGATTCCTCAGCATTCCCCACTCCCCTCCTCAGAGATAAGCATTTCAATATGGGGACTGAAAAAGAGAAGAGAATGCTGGAGAATTGTAGGGAAAACTTAAATCAGCCTTCCCTATCTGGCAAAAGGAGGAGAGGTGCAGCTGATACAGACTAGCAGTGATGGTCTGCAATCAGCCCTATGCCCCTGGGCATCTTGCAGCCCACCCTTCTCGGCAAGACCTGGGACTAACATCCAGGTTCAGTACATTCTGCCCACCCTGCCTCAGCAGCTGCAAACGGCACCAGCCTCAGTAAATTCTGCAGCTGTGGGGAGGACAGAAGTGGACAGGTCAGAACTATGATGAGATTCCATATGCCCTGCCACCAAGAATTATCACCACTGGGAAGGCCCTGGCATCAGTCACCCAAACCCCTGGAAGGCCTGGCAATAGCATTATGAGGTGAGAAGCTAACTTGTACTCTTGGTAAGCTCCACACTTCTCTGTTCCAGTTTTGGAATTTATGGAAAGTGTTGAGGGCCAATCTTCAGAGTCTGATAAGGGTTTAAGATCCAAGGCAGAGCTTGACCTCTGCTCAGGCTTTCACCCCAAAGGGCTCAGGGATTAAGTGGTACGGCTCCCCAAATTCCTTCCTGATAAAGAGGTCTCTGAGATATCCCTTCTCTCTCTTTGAACCTTAGATTTACGTATTTACTCCTCTATGCAGGTGGCGCCTAGGCGCCTGGGAAAACCCTGGAATCTACAGCGCAATCTAGGAACCCTGATAAGGAGGAAATTCATGATTGTTACATCCTCAGCAGATGTTCTGCGGTCATGAGGAGGACTCTTTGAAGTTAGGCTAGATTTTCCCTATATATTCTGTGCCTTCAGATGAATAAACTGAGTCAGTAATTCTACTCCGCCTGGCTCATGCCATAAGTTATTTCACGCCTCTCCATTCGGTGTACAATCTGGTTGCGGGCAACATTTTGGCGCGCCGAACAGTGACTAAAAGTCAGAGGGAGGTCGGTTCCTTGAACGCTCCAGAGGAAGAAATCCTTGCTGGTCACTACGCCAGGAAACAAGGCGTCCTGAAGTGGCTCAATGCCGCGGTACTAAGGTAAAAAGGAACTAGGGTCATTACAGGTTTCCCCATAGAAATAATAGGATTATGAGGGGGAAAATCACCAGGCTTATGTGGGAGATTATAAAATTAAAAAAAAATTGATTAGAAAGAAGTTTAGAAACAGGCTCGAATATTTAGAGCATAAGATATAGTGTCGCTTTGGAAAGTCCCACATATATACTTTCGATCTTAAGAGGCGCCCTTAAGATCAAAAGTATGGGTCAAGTACAAAGTGGAAAAAGAGATAGAGAGTATTACCTAAGACTACTAAAGAAAATAGTGAAAGAAAAAGGTTTAGTTATTCCAAACAGTCAGTTACAGGAAATTTTAGAAGTTATAGAAAAATGCTGCCCATGGTTTCCACCAGAAGGGACAATTGATTTAGAGAAATGGGAGATTGTAGGCAAGCAACTAAGAGAATATTACAGAGAAGAGGGCCCTGGTGCATTCTCGATTGCTACCTTTTTAATGTGGAATGTGCTAAAAGTATGTCTTACGCCCCGGATAAAGTACTAGTGGCTGAGAAAGTGATACGGGCAGATAAGGGGGTAGGAACAGAGAGGAAGAAGAAATGCATAAAGCCTTTGAGGAACAATTGAGCATAGTTGAAGAGGAGAGGGAAGATGTGTATTCTGTTATACAACAGAGAAATGTGCATTCCCCTAAGCAACAGAAAGATGTGTATTTACCTTCAGTTAAACAACAGCCTGGGAGAAAGTTAATATGTAAGGGCTTGTTAGAAGAGACAATACAAAGGGCAGAAAGCAGAGGGGAAGAAGTGCCTATGGACTTAAAATTAGCTATCCCAAAAAGCATGATGTTTCCACTATATGAAGAAGAGAATCCAGATAATCCTGGACAGATGATTAGGGAACATAGGAATTTTGAATTCAAAGTTTTAAGAGAATTAAAACAAGCCTCAGTACAATATGGGCCAAACAGTCCCTATGTACAAACTTTATTAGATTCAATAGCTAATACAGCCATGGCCCCATATGATTGGTATTCATTAGCAAAAACATGTTTGGAGCCAGGAGATTATCTAATATGGAAATCAGAATTTATTGAGCAATGCCAAGAGCAGGCAGGATACAATACAAGAACATTGATTCCTGTTTCTTTGGAGCAGCTCACAGGGACAGGAATGTTTACTGCACTTCAGCAACAGCTAGATTATCCACTTGTAGCATATGAACAAATTACAAAGGCTGCACGGGCGGCATGGTTAAAGGTTCCTGGGAAACAAGATAGGGGAGCCTCGTATACTCAGATAAAGCAAGGCCCCCAAGAAACTTTCCCAGATTTTGTAGCCCGACTTACGCAAGCCATACAAAGGAGCATTTCTGATTCAAAAGCAGCTGAAATACTCCTTCAAAAATTGGCCAGTGAAAATGCTAATGCTGATTGTAAAAAAGCCTTACAAGGCAGCAAGTCCAATATGGATATTACAGAAATGATTGAGCGGTGTGAGAATGTAGGGACCACGCAATTTCAGGTACAGGCTATGGCAGCAGCCCAAGCAGAAATGCTAGCATCTGCCTTTCCTAACAATCAGAGGGACCTGAGAAGGTTAAAATGTTTTAATTGTGGAAGGCCTGGCCATATAAAAAAGGATTATAGGGATCTTAGGAAGACAGGGTCTCAGCCCCCTACTACTCCTTGTCCTAGGTGTCAAAGAGGAAATCATTGGGCTTCATTATGTAGATCTACTTCAGATGTTAATGGACAGCCTTTAAACCCCCTGGAGGGGGCCCGCTCCGCCCGCCAAACAATAGGAGCAGCGCTGTCATTGATTCAACCAGTCCCTGCTCCGTGCCCACAAGACTCACAATATTAGACCTTATTCATGCCACTCCAGGTAGTGCCGGATTAGATTTAAGTTCCACTCTTGATAAAAACATTGGAGTACATGGTCCATTACCCCCAGGGATGGTGGGTTTAATCTTAGGCCGTAGTTCCCAGACACTTAGGGGACTCATGGTTATTCCTGGAGTGGTGGACTCTGATTACACTGGAGAAATTGAGGTTATGGTTTATGCTTTTCCTCGTTGTCGTTTTGTCATTCAAAAAGGGGAAAGAATAGCACAAATGATTGTAATGGATTATAAAAAACTGGGGAATATGACAAAAAAGGTAAGGGGGACAGAAGGATTTGGTAGCACAGGACTATTTTGGCATAGAACTATCACAGATGCCAGACCAACTCTAAAAATAGAGATACAAGGAAAAGAATTTGAAGGGTTAATAGACACTGGAGCTGATAAATCAGTTGTCACCTTACGGGCTTGGCCTAGAGACTGGCCACTAGATCAAGAAAATGTGATGTTACAGGGAATAGGAGAAATAGCCGCTCCTGCACAAAGCGCGGCATGGCTTACTTGGAGAGTGGAGGGGCAGCAAGGGAGATTTAGACCATATGTATTGCCACACCTTCCATACTGCCTCTGGGGAAGAGATTTATTGAAACATATGAATGTTACTGTAAGTAGCAAAAAATTTTTAGTAGGGGTCACGGTCGAAAAGAAAAGAACAGTACAGGTTCCTAAGATAACATGGAAAGAAGGGCCCCCCATATGGGTGGACCAGTGGCCTCTTAGTCTAGAAAAAATTAAGGCTCTTCGAGATATTATAACCAGACAATTGGCAGCAGGTCATATAGAATTTTCCACTAGTCCATGGAATTCTCCTATATTTGCTATTAAGAAAAAATCAGGCAAATGGAGAATGTTAACAGATCTCAGACAAGTTAATGCTCGTATGATAACTATGGGAACCTTACAGCCAGGGCTGCCTTCTCCGATTGCAATCCGGCAGACTGGCCTTTGTGGGTAATTGATTTAAAAGATTGTTTTTATACTATACCTCTTAGAGCAGAAGATTGTAAATACTTTGCATTCTCATTACCATCAGAAAATTTGAAACAACCTTACCAAAGATATCAGTGGAAGGTGCTTCCTCAAGGGATGAAGAATAGCCCCACCATGTGTCAGCAATATGTAGCAGATGCTATAGATCCCATCAGGAAAAAATACCCCCAAGCATACATAATTCATTATATGGATGACATCCTTTGTGCTCATCCACAAAAAGAGCAATTAGCTAGTATTATGGGGGACATGTTTACCGCTCTTAGAGATCATGGGTTAGAGATTGCACCTGAAAAGATTCAAAAGGCACCTCCTTACTCGTACTTAGGACAATTAGTAGGGATGAAAGAAATTCAGCCTCAAAAGATATGTATTAGACAAGATAAACTAAAAACATTAAATGATTTTCAGAAACTCCTAGGAGACATTAATTGGATCAGATCTTATTTAAAAATAGGGACTCATGAATTAAAGGATCTATATGATATTCTTAGAGGCGACCCTGATCCTACATCTCCTAGAACACTTACTACAAAAGCAAAACAGCAATTAGAAAAAATACAAGAATCAATTGAAACTGCAATGGCTCATCGCATAGAATCTGGTGTGCCTTTAGAAGTTACAATATTAGATACCCCAGATATACCTTTTGGATGTATACATCAGAAAGACAAGTTACTGGAGTGGGTTTTTCGGCCTTCACAGCCGAAATATACCCTTCAAACATATCCTTCTATGGTAGCAGACTTGGCTAAGAAAGCCTGCAAAAGAATATTACAATTAGTTGGAAATGCCCCTAGTATTATACATCAACCTTATGATAAAAAACAAATAGAGGAATTGCTCAGTCAAGACCATTCTTGGCAGGTGCTTCTTACTATTTTTCAAGGGGAAATAGATAATACATACCAATACCCAATTTTACAATTTGCCAGGAAACATCAGTGGATTATTAACACGATAGTGCAAAAGGATCCCATAGTGGGAGCACTCTGTGCCTTTACTGACGCTTCCTCTCATCACATTTCAACATATTTTATTCCCCCTGATGAGAGATATGCAGCACATACACCATTTGATTCTACACAACAAAATGAAATTTATGCTATAATATTAGTACTACAAAGATATTCTGGTCCTCTTAATATATTTTCAGACAGTAAATATGCAGTAGGAATGGTTAATAACATAGAAACTGCTCAAATTAAAGTGTCATCTAATTATAATATATTGCAACTTTTTATGATGTTACAAAAAACTATTCGGGAACGAACTTCCCCAGTATATTGTACACATGTTCCTTCACATACGGAGCTTCCAGGACCTATTACACATGGGAATCAGATAGCTGATGACCTCACTAGACCAACCCTGTTAATGTTGTCTGTTGAGGAAGCTAAGGAATCACATGACAAATTTCATCAGTCTGCCTCTATGTTAAGGAAACAATTTGGGATTACTAGAGAACAGGCTCGACAGATAGTAAAATCCTGCTGTAAATGTCTTCCTTATATACCCACACCATATAAAATGGCTGTTAATCCACGCGGATTATATTCAGGAGAAATTTGGCAAATGGATGTTACTCATTACAGCAGTTTTGCAAAGTTACAATTTATTCATGTAACAGTTGATACTTATTCTTCCTTCACTATGGCTACTGCACAAGCAGGGGAAGCAGTACAAAATGTCATAGATCATATGCTTCATTGCTTTTCTATTTCTGGTGTGCCCTCAGTTTTAAAAACTGATAATGGCCCTGCTTATGTTTCT